CTTGGGTAACTTAACTCTAGGGCTTTGGATCGTAGGGATTGACAGCTGTGGACCTAACACATGTTGTTGTGCCCCCAAATTCAAAGTTTGGTATGAATCACTTACTGTGTTAAAAGGATGTTGGCCTCCAGATTCAATATTACTTGTACTTAAAGATTGTTGAATTTCAGGACTCCCCAGCTCTTGTTGCACTTGTGGACTAGGTGATTCTACATCACCAGAACTTGAAGACTGTTTATCATTCCCGGATGAAGTTCCAGTTGCAACGACAACAGGTACTGTATTTCCTGTGATTCCTTTGATGGTTGGCCTACATGTTTGTTCTGAATTACCTCGGTTCCATTACTGATAAGCTTCAGTTTTCCTTCGATTTTAAACAAATATAGTYGAATGTGACCTCTTAAACGGTCGGCCTCTTCTATCTCCTTTTCTATTTCTTCGTCGCTGACAAGATCCAAGATTTTCCCGTCCAGGGTTTGAAGCAGCAAATTGAGTTTTTCTTCCAGTGTCGTCATTAACTGCTTCAACTTTGCCTCGTGTTTAGCTACGGCTTGTGTGTCGATTACCATTATCTCATCCACGATTGCCATCGTTTGGGTCACCGAACCCCGATGACCGCCTCTTATTTTCCTTTTTCGAGTAAGATCTGTAGACATGATTCCAAGAATTTGTAGATTCAATTCCAAATTTTCGTGCAGACTTAAAATTCCAATTTCCGTAAGATTTATGTCAGTTCAACGCGTTGAGATTCCAATCCTAGGTTCCGATTCCGATCAGACTCGAAGGACCATATAAAATTAAGAACATTCCGTTCGTAAAAAGAGAATAAATAGACTCCAAAGATTCAAGAATTCGTTCCAATCCGCCATGTTTTACTTTACTCGCCACGAGGCCCCATGATGCCTCGCGCACTTAACTAATTACAAATTCAACAAAGTGGAAAAAGTAACCAGAGTAAAAATAACATTATGACGGATAAATTAACCCTTACTGCATGAACCAATATAGTACTAATATCACCATAACATTATTACACTAATACAGGCTACATTGATTTTACATTGGCTCGTTAGAATCTTTAGAAAACGTTCTTATCCAGAACCAGGGCAAGCTCTTTATAATAACTTCGAAGTGAATTTTGAAAGTCTTTCTATGCATGCTTGATGTTTTATTTTAACTTTCGTCCTTCTTTTTACCGTCGGTTGAATCGGTTGATTCTGAGCTGGTGTCGGTGGAGTCGGTGGAGCCAGTGGATTCTCTTTCTGATGCCATCTGGGAAGGGAATATATTGAATAAGTAAAGGAACATAGCGGTTTAATGGAGGCAGGAGGACCGAATAATAATAATAATAATAATAATAATAATAATAATAATAATAATAAT